GGGCATAGTCTCTCACTCCTACTTAATTAGGACGGAGCGGAGATCTAGCTCATGTCATGAAAATGCAACTGTGCAGTGTATGAGGAAAAACGGAAAAAAAAACAAACAATAAAAACACTCAAAATCAATTCCCAAAACACACAATTATTCTGAAATCATTAGCAAACATATTAATACAACTATTTAATTGTCAATCGAATTAAATTAAAGAAATCAAAATAAAAACAAAACTTATTAAAAACCAAACAAGGGATCAAAAACCAAATTAAAATGAATTTGTAATTTTCAATTGCAAAGACAATTAATTAATCGACTATCGGCATGACTCTCTAAAAAAAATCCCCAGCAGAGTCGTCAAGCTGTCGAAATGATTTTTTTCTAAAAGGTGAAAAAGCGAGATTTTAAAAACCATATTATTTCTTAATTATCTCTTTTTAATTTAAAAACAAATGTGATTTAAAAAACCTCTCGTTTCGAAAAATTTTAGATTTCCTTTACGATCGAAAAATACGATTCGAAGAGTCACCACCAATCTTTGATTAGGGTGTGATTGGGCACCCAAAAATATTTTGTCATTTTAAATAAAAATTAATTTTAATTAAAACAACAAATTGAGTTTTGCGTTACCAAAAATGAGTTCGGGAGTCGGTTACATGTAGGGAAGGATTAGCACCCCCACAACGCCCTAAATCGGTACCTCGTCGATTAATTAAAGTCTTTGCAATGAACTTTACAAATTCGAACTTAATTTGATTTTTGATCCCATAAAACAAAGATGTGAATTTAATAATATTCAAAAACACTCAAGTAAATTAAATTAAAATTACCAAGTCTTTTTAGAAAGATAATGAATGTTCGATTATTTACAAATATCGAGACCAGATCTTAAAGATATAACAACCTTTTCTCGATATATTTAAATAAACGGACATTTCCTTTTCTCTCGTTCCCAAATTTTAGGTGACGAATCAATTTTTGGTTTCACTTTCGAGATACACTTTTAATTTAAAATCGTCAAAACGACCCTCTAATCAGTTAAGACATGCCACTCAGGACGATTTTAAATTAAAAGGGTAATACCTTTAGTCCGATTATGTAATATGTCGAGTTAGACACATGAGGGTATCATACAAATTTACTAAAAAACATACTCGAACAAATGTTTGGACCTAAAAAATAATATATTTAGAAGAATACATGCACATGTGAATATAAATATATATATATATATATATATATATATATATATATATATATATATATATATATATACATATCTATTTTTAAACATGCTAAGGGATTCTCACATTTTAAAATGACTAAACTTATGTACATTACAGGCATTATAATACGTAATAAATATCTACAATGATTTTTCAAATAATAATTTAAAGAAAAAATGTTTATCGCATTATGCGTAGTATATGCATGAAATATTGGTACAAAAGATTAAGTCCTATTTAATATTTAAATACATGCATACATACGACTACACATACATCATATAATATCCTAGATAAAATAAACATTTCAAATATATGAATTACTATCCATGAATGAAACAAAAAATGTCACCAGTGGTTCATATCATACCCATACTTGCCTATAAATATTTTATATTATAAATGACGAAAACATGAAATAACTAAGGCATGCAGACCAAAATGCAAGATACTAAATAAATGAAATGAGTTTACTGTAGGACTAAAATTAAATTTTACCCTAAAGCGTTAGTGACTAAAAACTAATTTATTCAAAACTATTAATATAAAACCTAGTTAAATAACTAAACCTAGACTAATCTAACTTCACACAAAACATACCCAGTCGTTTCACGCTTCCCTCTTCACTCTTCCACGCACGGTGTTGCCTCGCCCAAACATCCATCACCGCTGTTCAAGCCTCTCCTCCCTCCTATGTCTTCGACTAGAACCCAAGAAACAGAACCTAGAACCTCTTATTTGTTTTCACTACACTCCCTCTCAAACTCATCTCTTCTCCTTTTTCAACCCCATGAACGGTAGTTCCACCCTTGATGACCACCAAAACCCACTCTCAACCGAGACCTCTCACCACAACCTTTAAGCCACCTAAACTACCTCAGTTTATAATACCCCTAAACACTATGCGATCGAGAAAACCTCTCCGGTGATCGCCCTCTACGACGATTTTCTACTTCCCCGATGACCATTCCCTTAAATAGGTAAACCAATTCATCTCTTCTAATTTTTGCTTTGGTTTTTTTTCGAAAAGTTTGTTAAAATTGAGACAGAATCCACACAAAGAAAAAGTGGAGTCAACGAGACCTACTTTCGTTTTAACAGCCTAGGTAAATCCCCAAATTTTCTTTTTATTATATGCTTCGAAAGAAAGATTACACAACCCATACATGAATAAACATTTCAAAGGTAAAAAGGAAATAGATGATGATAATAAAATAAAGGAAAACCTGTTTATGGACTGCTAGTATTGCTTTTGAAATTCACTGCTTGTGCTAGTATTGCTTTGGAACTAAATTTCACTTTGTATTGCTTTGATTCGTTGAAACGGTCGAACTCTTCCGTTCCTTTGATTTTCAAATTGAAAGAAAATATAGTATCATGTCTTCCGTTTTGCTATCTACCTTCTGTAAAGAGATACAATGGAAGTTTTTTTTTTGCTTTTACTCCCGATTCCTTGATGATATATCTCTGTCTCTCCAATCTCTTTTTCCTCTGACCCCGTTTCTGATGGTTAATTGCCAATAAAACCGACCCTCCCTTTACAGTTTCTTTATCTCTGCTCATGATCATGGAGCCTGATTATTTGGGTAACTCCTGATAACTTGCTAGTTATCATACGTGGCTGAGAATGACCTTTTCTTTCCGTTTGTTGCAGGTACATCCATGCGTGCAAATTTGGATCATTGGATCACCATTTGCTAGGCCTACAATCATATAATATGTAAAAAACATTAAATTTAATAATAATATAATATATATTTAAAAATTTCAAAACTGACACCATACTATATTTTATTATCTTTTTAAACTACTATATATATATATCATATTTTATTATCTATTTGTCATGCTACATTATTATATAATTATCAACAAATAAATTAAAATAACCTAACATAAGCAAAGCAAAATAAAATTATAAAATAATAGTAAAAATCTTCGGACAAAAATACGTGTCTACAATTATGATTAGAGATCTCAGCTTATAGATTTATAGATTTAATGGGACAAAACGATAATAAAAAGGATGGTTGACAATATGGGGATGACCATTCAAATATAATGAAGGCGGTCGATAATAGCCGACCACAATTGGTACAAGATTTGAACAAAATATTCTAAGACTTCGATTATTTCTTTTTTGTAACTTAAAACTTATATTCTTATTTTTTTAAATAATAAAAATTTTAAAAATATATGAGACCGATATATGTTAGTTAATAATTAAATTTAATAATCATTATGGTATAAATATATAAAAATATATGAAAAAAATATTACATGATTAAATGAAAATTTCTTTAAATATTTAATATCAGTAAAATATATAATTTGGAAATTTATTTTTCGTTTAAGCCTTTTGAATTAGAGTGAGGATAATTAAAGTTGGAGTTGTGCTGTCATCTGGATTTCAAAAGTTGACAGATGAATGACCATGAGCCTATTTTGACTTAACTGCCTCTTACAAGAAATCAATAGTAACGGTCAAAGCTGGGGATCTCTTATTTCCTTACTGCCATCAATAAGAAGCGAAGAAATCGAAGTTGCGTGAAGATTTTGGATTTACTTTCCCCCATGGATCTATCGATTTCCAGCCCTCTTTCCGGAGCTTTTCCCGCGCCAACTTCAACTCCCTTGAGGATCTACGATTTCCCAGCCCTCTTTCCGGAGCTTTTCCCGCGCCAACTTCAACTCCCTTGACTAATTTCCTTCAACAATCCGGAATTAGAGTGAGGAAATCGAATTTTCCGCTCCTTCAACCCTCGAAACTCCTACCTCAACAATCCGTTAGTATCCCGCCAATACTTTCCGATCAGGGCTCAGGTTTCGGATACGGCGGTCGACGATGGCTTTGTCATTGACGATGTCCCTCACTTGACTAATTTCCTCCCTGATTTGCCGGTAATCACTTCACTTTTCAGCCTTTATATTTTATTTTCCTTCCGTGCTGTTGAGTCTTGACAATTTTCTATTTTAAAGAAAGAGTTCGGAATTGTTTCAGTTGGAGTACTGTAGAGAAAATGAAATTTGTAATGATTAATAATTTTAGACTTGAGTTGTTTTTGTTGATGCAACGGAGAAAAGAAATGAATCAAATTTTGGAAGAGAAATATGATAAAGAAAAGAGTATAAATGAAATATAATTGGTTCAGCAGTTCCTTTCGTGTTTGTTTGAATTGGATAGATGAACTCTCCTTATAAATTTTTTTTGACAAGTACCAGGATTGAGAGTGATTCAGAGTAAAAATGAGACGAATATTATGGTTATGAAATAATTGAGTTGCTTTGGGAACCATCATTGTAGGAACTTGGAGAGTATTTAAATGAGAAAAGTATCAATATGTAGAGTCCTGGATTTCTAAAAACCTCATACTTTTGTAGGGACTTAAGAAGTGCATTACAAGAAATGTATCACCTTAAATCTTACGTTGGGATTCTTTCTCCTTCACTAATTCAATTACTTATCTCTCAATGTCACATCTCTTCTCGTCCATCTGAAATTACAATTTATTCTGTTGTCTATACTGTTGATAACCATGCTGTGGAGGGTATTGTCCCTGGGTAGACTCAAAAAAGACTTATCTCTCTATGGTCCTATCTCATGTGACCTTTTTAGCTTATAATACTTCCAGCAAGGAGGGTATTGTTCCTGGGTAGACTAAAAAACGATGAGTTCTTGATATCTGCAGATTTTAAAATGATTGGAATGTATTGCATCTTAAATTTTAGTCAATCAGAGCGCCTCTTTTTCCAACTATTGACTGTAAAGTTTACATATTTCTTCTGTTTCTCTATATTATATTCTCTTAATCATTAAAAGCCCTTTATATCTTCATAAATTCTCTTATAGAAACATGATTTCCATATGCAAATTTGAAGGCAACCGATTGTAATTGCTCCTGCCTTTAGGTGATCTATAAATCTTTTGGTTTTGATACTGCCGTTAAGAAGATCAAAGGGCCATTAATGCTGCACATGTGGAGGTAGAAAGTGTAGAAAATGGCATTGGAATTGTCAAACTCATGGGAAGATACAGTGGTTAGTGTTTTCAATATTATAGATATTATGTAGTAATTACTTATTATGTGTGGAAATAATATATATTATGTGTCTGTGCGTGTGGTGTGGCTGGCATGCTTTGTAACTATTAATCGTGCAGGTTTCATTGCTATGTTTGCAACACTGGCAAGTCGAGATGTGGTAAGGTCTTTGTCCCTTTTTGTATGCAACAAGCTCCATATGATAAATACCTACGAACTACACTGAATGTTAGATTACTATCTCCTCTCTTGTCTTCTTCTTGGTATGCATGGAATTGATGAGAAAGATGCATATGGAAACAGGCTTCTCCTCGATGTTGGTCTCTGGTTAACTCAAAACATCAAGGTGGGGTGCGTAAACTCTCTTATCAGTTTGTGATTTTTAATTCAGTGCCTAATGGTATCACAGACTCAACAATACCTTAATGGAAAAAGCAAAAGTTTTTTGATTTCTCCTTTCCTTAAGCAACCTTTCTCCAGAAGCTTTTTGGTTGAAAATGTACATTGAAGTTGGTTATAATCATAGTTAATATTCCTTTGTTGGATTCTGTGTCTGATTTCATTTTATATGATTACTTATCAATGCAAGTTTAGTATGAAAATTTATATAGATTAGGGAAATCCGAAATGTTCTTTCATGCATTCTGAACTATATACCATGAGATGAAACAAAATCTTAGTGAATCACAAGAATGTCCTAGTATGTTGTATCTAACATTTTTGTCTGAGCTGAAAACTTTCTATGGACCGATGCTTGATTTCTGATTAGAATGCTTTTCTTACTTGAGATCCACAACGAAAGGTTTTTAGTGTATTAACATGACAATTCATGGTGATAATTTTGAAGAATATTGTAACTATATTGTGTTACTGAGGGTCTTTGGTAATTAACGTTGTTTTTGTTGTTTTCATTTGTGCTTTTATCATTTCCCCTTAATAATTACCACTTAATGTAGGATCATTTTACTAAGGAGCGGAAGATGGCAATAAACATGAAATACATTGGTAAGGCCCGACATATTATCGTTTTTTTTCCTCCTCTCTAGTCCTTGTGGCTAGTGCAATTTTATTTGATCAGTCATTTTTCTAGTTAAGATAATCTTAGCTGAAAGACTTGGGAGTTTTGTCATGCTAATTTTACCACAAGAAAATTCTTAGATATGCATAATCCATATTCTGCAAATAATTAGGTATACTGTGGTTAGTGCTGCAATTACTTGGTATGGTATGCAGTTGATTATGTGCGATTGTGCTCCCCTCATGAAATAAGATTCTTCTGTCTGTTCAATTATCCTTAGTACTTTAAATGATGCCTTGTTCAGATACTATGACCAAACATAAAGTCATGAACTGACGGTTTACTTCAAACCTATTGGAAACATATTTTTCTCGGTTTCATTTGCCAAAATTAAGTGCTATCATAAATGCAGCTGGTTTGAAATCATCTACCTGCATGAACGCCAAATTTCATACGAGACATCTTTTCATTTTAAGAACCTTTGCTTGAGTTCTAATGTGGAAGTTAGTGGACAAAGTTTAACTCTCTTCTAGATCGGAACTTCTTATTATTTTCTATTGCATTGCGATAAAACTAAAAAAAAAATTCATTCTCCAGATCCAACATACATGATACGAGCTATCCAAAGTAATGCGTCAGACAACATTTACTGCACTCTTCTTGCTCAAAGCGCCGTGCACGGGGCCATGGCTGGATATACAGGGTTCACAGTTGGACCTGTAAACAGCAGACATGCCTATATTCTAATTTCTGTAAGCTTTAGCGCTTGCACTGCTTTTAGCTAACGGATTGTGCTTGATATCTAATTGCATTTACCTTTTGAAGTGAAAATATCTTTCCATGAACTAATTTATTCGAAACTCAACTAGTTATTTCCTTACCTTACAAGAACCCCCCTCCTGCCTGGTAGCAAATTAATCAAGTTTCTGTACTGTATTTGAGTCGATCTCTGACATGGAATTGCGCTTTACGGTATTTCTGTTTCAGCATGTTACTGAGACTCAAAACACAGTGAAGTTGACTGATAGGATGTGGGCTAGACTTCTTGCTTCGACAAACCAACCCAGTTTCCTCAACTGTGATGAATCAAAAGGGGGGAAGTGTGTAAAGATACTATCGACTTGATCAACAACATGAAGATTACATCTATTTAGATTCGATCAATCGATGCTCCGACGCAAACACGTATTTGTTTTGCACCACAAACTCGGCAGGAAGGTTCGATCTTACGGCCTCTTATCTGGTAAATCTTTTTCCTTTGGCCTGCACGCTTATCTAGTAGATTTATCACCTGCCATTTAGCTATATCTTGGTTGCTGCATGTTTGTTCTCGATTCGGATTGTGCCTCGACAATTTACTATCATCATGACACGCTGCCAATATATTTGTAAACTACGTTTGACCTTTTAAAATAGTATTGTAGATTCAGCTATTCAATGTATAACTTAAAAGGTAAAATAAAATGTTTGGCCCTCCAACTTTGTTAGTTTAGTCATTTTAACTTAAAACTTTTATTGCGTCTCTTTTAGCTTTCAAACTTCTATAGTTTTTTGTCAAATTGACCTTAAGGCGATAGAACAATAATTAATCATTAAGTTAGTGACTGATACAAAAGTATCTTTTAGGGGGTCATACATATATTAACAACCTAAAATTTTTGTATGCGAGTGAGTGTAAATAAAATTTCATGGTGAACACAATTAATAAAACAAATAACTAACATAAGATTATCCAATTTAAAATTGAATTCGTATTTATTTTTAAATTCAAATATCTTACATATAATTATAGTTTATTCGAATTGAAAAGATAGTGCTTTATTGTTTGGCATTCCTTTTGAACCCTACACTCTATGTACACCAATAATAAGTATGATAAATTATGCTTTTAATACCTAAACTGTCAGTTTTGCTCTATTTTAATACTTAATTTTTTATATTTTTAAAATTATATTTAACGTTTAATTTTTTTTTTATTTTAGTACCTTGCTATTGAAAAGTTAACAGATTGGCTCGTCGGTCGCTGCGTCTATAGTTGTTGATCGTCGCATCCGTTGGTCGATGAAGCCCAAACTTTTAGCCCGCATCTTTTTGACCCCTTAAACGCGATTTTAACCTCCGTTTCATCGGGAAAAGCCTCAATCTCCTCAAATCAACGATGGATTTTTCGATTACTTCATCCTTTGATCTCCATGATTCATTGTTCGATGGGCTTGAAACTGAATTATATTGGTCGACTCGTCATTCTCTCGTGGTTCCTCATTCAAATTGGTTATCCGTCCACTGAAGTTATGTCATATAAGTTTTTAACGATAGGGTACTAAAATGAAATAAAAATCGAATGTTAGGTATTATTTTACAAAAATAAAAGTTTATATATTAAAATTAACCAAAATTAATAGCTTAGATATTAAACATATAATTTACCCTAATAAATAATCCAGAATACTTCCTTCCTCACGGCCGTTAACGGTGGATTATTATTATTCACCCAGCCACGTCAGCAAACCTTTCCTGATTTAGTAAACGGCTACATAACGGCAAGCCCGGAAATAGAATACCCAAACGGAGATAAAGGTGATAACGGAGGGATGCTGAATATCCCCTTCATATTCACTATCCCAAAAACCCTTTCCAATTCGACGGCGTTAAACACACTCCCGACGCCGTCACACTTTCCGTCTCCTGCTTTACGTTCTACGTTCTTTTCTGGTTCTGGTTGTTGTTCTTCTTCCTCCCTTTGTCTTTTCTTTGAAAACGAGTCATCAGATGAGTTTGATTTCCCTGCCTCGAGAGGGAAGTTCAATATCGTTTTGCTTCCTCGTAGCTTAAAGGCAGCTGTATCATAAGCTTTAGCATCTTCAATGGCGGTGTCGAATGTTCCAAGCCAAATTCTACAACCTTTCCGTTAGGGTCTCTGATTTCAGCGGAGAACTTGCCCCACGGCCGTCTCCTCACGCAGCTGTAATGCCTTTTGTCGTCTGCAGCAGACATGGCAGTGGGTGGTGGCATGGTGACGTTGATAGAAGGACGGCGCTGGCTGAGAGACGACTTATGGGGTTGAGGAGTGGAAAGAAGGGATTCCATGGAAACAAAATAAGCGAGGAGATGTCGCTTCATGAGTTCCAAGCCGGATGTTTCTTCGTAAGAAGCCATTGATGAATTGAGTGGAAAGGAGAGAGTGTGCAAATCGTCATTTACTCCCGAGGACAAGTTCTACGTATATTATAGTAAATAATAGACACTAAAATAAATTTTTTAACACCTATATAATTTTTTTTAAAATAACTCTGCACACGTTATTTAGCCAAAGAAATCTAGATATAATGCACTGCATTGCACTCTCCATCCTACTGTTTTGGTTGATTAGATTGATTTATTTTAGTTTTTCGAATTGAAAAGTTTTATTTCATAAGAAAAGTATATAAATTACCTTTTGATTATAAAATATTATTTTGTTGAGGCATCAATTATTAAAAATTATAAAATGATCTTCAACTATTCATTATGTTCTAAACTTGTCATTTTCCGTTAAAAAATCAATAGTCGTCTAACTTGAACATTAACATGTTGATTGAGATATGATAGTTGTTTGAGCTTATGAGATCAGATTTTATCATATCTCAGTCATCATATTAACGTCTAATTTAAACTATCGTTAATTTCTAACGAAAAAAGACGAGTTTGAAACGTAAAGAATAGTTAGATGATCATTTTGTGACTTTTAATAGTTGAGGGACTCAACAAAGCAACTTGAGAGATCATTTTGTGACTTTTAATAGCTGAAGACTCAATAAAGCAATATCTTATAATCAGAAGACCATTTGTGTACTTTACCCTATTTCATATTTGAATCACTTTAAGTTCATGAAATGAGTTTTATGTTCTAGGTAATCCAAGTTGAATTTACGAATTCTATTAGGGTGTATTCGATTTGATTTGATATTTTGACAAAAGATGAACCGGATTATATTTTACAGTTTTTTAGAAAATGAAAATGAAATTGAATGGCATAAAAATTGTAATTTTCGATTTGGTTTGGTTTGATTCTGTTAAGTTTTATGATTTTTTTTGTTCACTATTTTTTAAACTCGAACATCCAAAGAGAACAAACCTAAAGCTTAAACTCGAGTGTAAACATACAATTCTAAATTCATAAAAATATTGTTACTTTTAAGATTTTAGTTATTTAAGTTTGTCTTATGGTAAATTCAAAATGAATTTATTTTGGATAATTATTTTTTAATTTAACTCGAATCGATTGTTTGATTTTCTCAATTTGATTGCTCAATCTAACTCTAAGAACATATAAAACGAACTAAATACATATGAAACAGATTAACAAGGCAATCATGCAAATAAAGGGAAAGTTCAAGCTATATAAAATCAGTACATAAACATATATAAGCTTTTTAACTTGTAAAACTGCCGTACACTCCATATATATAATTTTACACACCATCTATTTTATATTACATACTAAGCATAGTCTCCTCACAAGCGAACCCTAAGAACTTTGGTTCAATTAACCATGGTGGTTTCTGTCAACTGACGGCCAATGGTTGCCATTCCCATTTTCACTCGAACCACCACTTCCTCCACCGTAGCCGCCGCCCCCAGAGTTTCCTTGTCCACTTCCAGAACCGTAGCCACCGCCATGAGCACCACCACTTCCTGACCCATATCCATACCCTGAACCAGACCCACTCCCGGACCCAAACCCGAATCCATAACCCCTCCCGAACCCATCAGGTGACCTCCCGGAGCCTGAACCATAACCCCATCCACTCCCGGGGCTTGAACCCCATCCCCAACTGTAGTCCCAGTTAGGGCCATGCGCAGAACCAGTTGCACCGCTCGGAGCATTCGAGCCCTCCATAGAGGTTGTCAGTGTTTTCCGATCACCGGAAGCACCAGCACCAACGAAATTAAACGAAACCAACGAAACGAAAAGAAACAAGGAGAAATGAAGATAATTGAGTTGCATTTTCTTCTCCAAATTAAGATTTAAAAAGCTCCTTTGCTGTGAACGGTTGATGTGGTTCGTGAGTGGGGTTATTTATAGTGGGGTGTTGATATTGACGTTAAGGCCACTTGTGATGGTATTTACTTTTCGGTAAACTATGTATTTAGCCATCCATCTACTTCCTTGGTTCCGTTTTGGTCACTCAAAGTGATTATAAGGTAATATATGTTCGAAATACTCTCATTCATTTGACAATGAACGTTTAAACACCCGTGAAGATGTCGCGCTCAATCCTAAGACCTATAGGAATAACAACTATCCCCAATGATGGGTCTAGAAATATTTTTTAGAGTGGACACACATATGTTAATAACACAATTTTTGAATAGAATCAACACAAATAAAATTTCAAGGTGAACATTATCAATAAAATACTTAGCTAATCGAAAAAAAATTAGATTCCAGGGTGGGCACATACCTACCCTCAAGTTGTTGTGGATCTGCCACTAATCATCCCTTTAATCACCGAAATCACTTTGTTCGTATAAAAAAACTAATTTTTTAAACCTAATTTTAGGTTTTGATTATGCGTTGGTCACCCACCATTATAAAATCAACAGGATTGTTGATATTGACAATTTTTATTTTTCAATAAAAAAATTGCATCAATTTATGGTGACAAATCAACATTAATTTTTTAACGGTAGATGTTCAAAACATAACGTTAGATATGATTTAAAAAATTATAGTTGAGTGACCAAAATAGAATTATGAGAATAGATGAATGATTAAATATGTAATTTACCATTTACTTTTTATGCGATTGCACATGTCCCTGTATCATCGAGTTTCTTGGGCACAATGGAAGAGGCACTACCACGCTTGAATCGCACCACCGCCCTTTCAACTAAATTATAACATATAAACCTCAAGTATATCCCACAAATGGATTGTCTTTCATGATTATATCACTGTTTTTGGCTGATAAGGTTGAGTAATAAGTTTACTTTGCCTTAAATGAAAAAACAAGTGTTTAAATTATATCTAAAATTAATTTTAAACGGTTAAAGAATTTTTCATTAAAAATACATGTTTACCGTTTTTGATGTTACAATTTAAGTGTCTATTATTAAATTCGACCGTTAAGTAACATGTGTCATGCTTACAAAAATTTATTTAAATTTTTTAAAATTTTATATGTATGACACGTGTCATTTAACGATCAGATTTAACGGTCTAAACACTTAAAAATATAATGTTATAAATATTAAACCCTTATTTTTAACGAAAAATTACTTAAACATTTAAAGTTAACTTTAAATATAATTTAGATCATTATTTTTACATTAAGCTTTATACTTTCAACATGGCTTCTGTCCGTTGCTAAACCAATATAAGTTTTGAACTTGCAAGTACAAAAAGGTCCCTATCCTTTTACTTTAGTCCCACAAGAGGACTGACTTAATTGGAAGAGAAGAAATTAAAAGATTGAGTATTAGTTTGATTGATATTGATATTATTATAATATCTTATAAGATACGAATGTCTTATAAGTGTCTAGATTAATTAGTCAAAACCTTCTTAAATTAGAGGATTACTTACAATATTTAAATGTGTTTGAACCCATTTCTTGTAAGATATTGTAGTAATAATGATGTCAATCTATCTAAGACTCTGCCAATTATTAATTTAACATGTGACTGAAAATAACTCGTTAATCAAATTTAATGAGATATTTTCTAACTATATTTAACCTCTTCTTTCAGCTTATAAATAAAGAGCTTTTTGTGCTCATTTCAGATCATTCAGACACAAATCTCTCACATAGTTCTCTCATTCAGATCAACGGTATCCACTCAGGGATTGAACTATATGTAAGGTTGGAAGCTCCCTAATTTTGTATTATTAAAAATATATATAGGGATAAATATCTATTTAGACTTTTAAGTGTTGGTTTATTTTGATTTTTCTCCTCTCATTTTTTATCTTGAATTATAATTCTGGTTTCGTCTTTGTATCCGATTCAGATTTTAAGTGTACAAAATTTTAAAGGATTGTATTAATATTAGGGAAATCACATCCATTACGAGGAGTACACAATCAATATACATTTAGGGGTTGTTTGTTTACTTCAGAATGATTAAGCGCTGAATGATTCAAAGGTTCTATATGAATTAGCTCTAAATGTGACATGTTGTTTGATAATGGCTCTGAATCATTCAGAATGTACTTCTGTGTTGAATCATTCAACATTGTTTTGCTGAATCATTCAGCACTGAATCATTCAGATGTTAGAAACAAATAGTCTGAATGCTGAACGATTCAACATTCAGCACTGAATGATTCCATTCAGAGCCAAACAAACAACCCCTTACTTTTAAGACTATTATTCTTCCGTGACACGATCAAGTTTTACTTTTTTTTTACAGCAATACTATTATTTTTGCAACACTACGTAAGTCTAACTCTATCAAATTCAAAGTTAAAATAATCCAGTTCCTTATGATTTCATGCCCTAATTCGACTCCATCTAATATCCTTCTAAAAAGTTGATCTAGAAAATTGAACCACATGGGCAAGTTATGCTAGGGTGCAACAAGCCTCATGGTCACATTGCAACTAGAAAGAAGATATTTAGAAAAACGAGAGATATTTCATGTGTTTGAATTTGAGGGCTGTATGCAGAGCAAAGTGAGGGAGGGTATGGAGGAAGGTGGTAATGGTGCACCAAATTGAGTGGTAGTATCTTTGATAAGTAGTAGCGGATGCATGTATACTTTAGGGTGGGCACGTGCCTACCCTAAAATCAATATTTTTTAATGTTTATTATTTATTTTATTAATTGTGGTCATCCTAAAATTTTATTGGTGTTCATTCCATACAAAAAATTTCTATTATCAATACATGTGTATTTGAAAAGTATTTATTAATTGTGGTCATAACGATACACATACGTAAGCAATCACAAGCCGAACAGGATTGATTGAGGAGCAAACGTTTACCTTTTTTGCTTGTGGTGTTGTAGGAGGAGACGATAACTTTTGACTTCTCATCTTTGGATTTTATTTTGGGATATGAATTCTCACCCCTTTCACGAAAATGACATGATCTTGACACGTGAATTCTCTTTTCTCAAAGCCACCTTCAGTTCTTCCATGTTTTGGGCAAGTATATATTTCACTACTCGAAATTGCCTTCCAGGTTTGCTTTGGTCCTTGATGTTTTCTTTCTTGAATCAGGCACCTGAATGTAGCTTCAGGGTTCGATTTGATACCTAAACTTTTCATGGTTTGATTAATTACTTCAACTTGATTTTTTTTTATTGAAACTTAGTTGTTTGATTTAAATTGATACTTACTATCTTTAACCATTTGAATTGTTAAAGTCAATGACTCAAATTTCATCATGACTTTATCTGAAAAATTTATGGCGTGACCCGTTTGACGAAGAAATAAATTAAGAAAAAAGATTACAATTTAGTTAAACTAGGATTTTATGTTCACACAACTATATACACAACTAAGATTCTAGGGTTTTATGTGCTCTTACGAAACCCTTTTGTATTTGTCTCCAACTAAGTTAAGGTATCAAATTAAACCTTGAAATCAAGTTCAAGCACCTAACTGAATCAAGAGAAGCTTAAGTATCAATTTGAATCTTGCAATCAAATTGAGGTACCAATATGTATATTAATCATCTGTCTTTTGAGGGAAAGAAAGAGTGATATTATTTGGAGTATGAGAAAAAAAATCCAAGGGATGTGGACCACATTTGAGTTCATAGGTGACTTTGAACAACCATCATAAGTAGGAATCATTGACATAAAAACCTAAAAGCCGGTTAGGTTAGGTTTTTTTCGGCCAAAAGTTGCATATAACCACAACAAATGGGATAAGTTTAAAAACATTTTGGTCACGATCCATCTTACACAAGCTAAATTTATAATTACCAAAATTATAATTTTGGTTCGATATATAATGTAATACATCACATAAGATAAAGGTGTGTTCAGTTGGTCATGCCTTAATCGAGGCATTTTCAACTAGTCATGTCTTTGCCCTACGTGGTAAGACATGCTAGTGCTTTGCATTCTAATTGACTGAAGCAATCTAATTAGAATGCATAGCTCTAAAACGCATTACCACGTAGGGCAAAGACACGATTAATTGTAAGTGCCTTAACAAAGTTGCTTTCAATTGACCATGCATTTATCTTAGGTGACCGAAAAGGATATCATTCTTTAAACAATATTACTTGGGTACTATTTTCATAATAAAATTAAAAATATATTATTCCCTTGAATTAATCTTTTTTTTTATAGAAGTCATTAATTTTATTAAAAAGCGGAAATATTCAGAATTACAATGAAAGTTTATAACCATAATCATAAACTAAACACATAAATAAGATATTTTTCTATAACCACACAAAAATTAGCCACTTAATATCACTCAGGTACCATACAAGGAAAATGTTAAAAACCTAATCAATAACTCAAACAAAAGATATATACGAACAAATCCGACTGCACCGACATGATAATAAATAAGTGTCATATTGATCAGTCGTGGCGAATGTAAAATCTAACCCTAAGAAAAAAAATAAACAAAAACAACGGACAAACAACTGAAAATATGCTAAAAATAGAGAAAAAATTGTCATAAAGATAGAGAAATTAAAGGAAAAACAATAAATATCAATGACGATAACCAACATCAAGATTGGTTCCGTCGTCTATCAATCAAAGATGAAAAGAGGAACCAATGACGTTTAAGCTAAAGGGGGAAATCTTAATTTTCGTATTAACAATTTTTTTTTGAATATTTAAAATTTTTTAGTATTGATAGTTTGAATTACGCTGTTTTTTTTTTATTATTGTTGTAGGCTTTCCATTAAACTATTACAAATTGTTACAATAATGTCATTTTTTTAAAACAAAATCAATGGACGAAAGATACTAAGTTAATCATTGTATTGATCATCTTTCAATAATATTGTCTTAATCATTATTGTTAAACTTTTTCAATAACGGACTTTAATTCAACTCGACCGATTCGTTACCATCTTAAAAATTTATTAATAAAATTAATAATTATCATAAAAAAATAAATTTAAAAATAAACAAATGATCACTATAAACAACACTTAGATCTGCTGTTGCTCATAAATTCGTTATAACACAACCCAAAACCGAAAACTACTAAAAGCAACTATTCAGCACATCAACTTGGTGAAAAGTAAGGATAATAGAGAGCCCCATTTTCAGTGGAGCAGCCCAAATATACATGCTCAACTTGTAAACTTATGCTTCAACTGCCTCAATCCGTGTGGGACTCTCCGGCAAGTAAGACAGTCCATTATCAAATTAATCGACTTCATTTATAATATCACGATTCAAATCATTAATTTTATTAAAATGATTTAATATCTCTTCATTTTAAACTAACTCATAACTATTTTTTTTATACGGTCTCTAAAAGTCAATCTACAAGTTTAATAGTAATAGAGATAAAATCCAGGCCAATGAAGAAGATGAATTTAGGGTGTGAAAGTTGTAGATAAGGGAGACCCCTTTTAGGATATTAATGTCTAATAAATATAAAAAATAGTTATAAACTTAAAAGAAAGAAAGATAAAGTACATAAATGGTCCTCCGAATATAGGATGATATTTTGTTGAGTCTCTCAACTATTAAAAGTTATAAAATGGTCATCTACTCTAAGATACTATTTTGTTGAGTACTCTGACTATTAAAAGATACAAAATGATCACCCAAACTATTTATATGTTCCAAACTCATATTTTTCAGTTAAAAAAATGATGAACGTTTGACTGGACGTTAGCATGTTGAATGGGATCTAATAAAATCATATTTTAGTGATGTCTACTGTCATTGTCGTTGCATTCAAGCACTGACTCAATTACATAATGTTTCAAGCACTAACTCTTCGACATAATGTAAACAGAGAATCGATCCATAAAATATAATTCAAACGGTTTTGGGATCATATTTTATCATATCTTAGTTAACAAGTTAACGTCAAGCTCAGCCGTTCGCCAATATTTTAACAGAAAAGGACGAGTATGGAACAAATGAATAGTTAGGTGATTATTTCATAACTTTTAATAGTTGGGAGACTCAACAAAATAATCTCTATAATTAGGGGACTGTTTTATAAGTTTTAATAATTGAATGACTTAACAAAATAACTTATAGTCGAGATATTATTTATGTACTTTACCCAATAAAGAATAACATGTAAAGTCAGGGTGACCCTAAACCCTACATGTTTAGGTAGGATTTAAGGTCACCACCCCTATACATCGGACCACCTCACATGCTATGCGACACCCCCATTTCCCAATCAAAGTTGGCTCTGAGAATTGGACCCAATTTCCATTACTTCAACGCTGAAACTTGAGTGTTCGTGATGTATATTCAATTCTCAATAAATGCACTGTTTATATCTGGTTTCAGTATGCTAATGATTTAGAATCAGAAACCATTTCTTAAGATATTTTCATCGATATTTGGGTGTCTATTGCTGATCAATACTATACCACTCACCCCTCCCTTCCCTACTTCGACGTGGAAAGCAGATCTCATAGAGTGTGAGCGTTATCTACAAAGGGAGGAGATATTTATTTTCGATTCGATTCGGTTTAATCAATTTAATCGATCAATATTAAATCAATTTGATTCGATCATCTAAAACTTATATTGATCGGTTACTTAATTACAAGATCAATGTTGAAGAGAACTGATCGAACCTACCATCAAGGAAGATGTTGTCACTTCCACATACTATCCTGGTGTGAGATTTGCTCTAAGTATGTTGTAATGTGACCGTTTTTTTTATTAATCTAGAGTGATTACAAGTGATAGTATATGTTTTAAAGACTTTTAATCATTTGGCAATGAACGCTCAAATACTCTACGGTCGTTGTGCTTGAACCTAGGACCTCTAAGCATAATAATCATTCCTTTACCTACTAAGATCGATTGATTTGTGTTGTAATGTGAGATCTTATATTTTCAAAGTAATGTAAGATTTCATAATGACATTCTTTCATTTATATTTTGAAGATTAACAAATGCTGCCAAGATTTCAGAATATAGGAACAAATCTCAATATCACATCTTCCTTGAGGAATTTATGATTCCTAAGAGAATGGTACATATTCCGTGACTCATATGATAAGGGCAACCTTACACATTGCTATAATTAGTCATATGATAATGACAAAGTTTTGAATTTGTGGTTTGAGGTGTTTGTTCGAAAATTTAAATAATGAAAAATATTTTTTAGAAGATAAACAAGATTCCTTAAAGCCGTTTCACTAGATGGTTATTGAAGTATTTGAACATCGAAGCTTTAAATGGATTTTTGTCGATTTTGAGTGAGTTTTGTAGAAAACAATCCGATGAGAAGAAAAAACAGTGAAATTAAAATGTTATAATATCAATCTTGTCACAAATGATAACAGTGATTGATCAACAACGACGGGCGGAGATGAGTTGATAATTGTTTGTAAGGACCAACATGATACACAAACTAAAATTGAATGTGTAAAATAAAAAAAAATTAAAGTTTAATGATAAATTTGAAAAAAACTAAATCTAATCATGTTTAATTATTATATATTTCAAATTTTAAAATTTTAGTTATAATACAAACAATATAAAAGTAATATAACTAAATTATAAAAAATTAAAATAATCAAATTAAAAAACTAGATTTATTACTTACACTCAACATATAAATAACAAATTTCTCCTTAATAAAATATAATGATTAATATTTAGATTAAGATCAAAATATAAGAATTAAAAATAATTAAATTAAAATACATGGAGTAAATACACAATTTAAACATAATACAAGGATTAATAAAAGGAAAGCCTAGAAAACAAAGAGCTCACCTTCTCGCCTCGTCGGGGATCTTTATCAGCTTCGCCGCCGTGCTCACTAAGTGTCGATTTCAAATCGTTCGAAAATGGAAGCCCTTATAGCAACATATGGAGGTGACGCCTCATCGGACTCCGATTCCGATGACTCCTCTCCGCCGATTCTTCCGTTCAAATCGGAACCCCAAACGGAGGAGCCACACTCATCCCCTCTCCCTCCGCCTCCTGTTTCTCTCCTCCACCCTCCCAATTCCCTTGGTAATTCGAACTATACTCAGTTTCCAATCGTTTTCTTTTAGTGAATTTTACCTTCCTTTTTATGCCCATCAACTGTTTCTTTTTTCTTGACAATCAAAAAGGGTCTTTGGATTTCTTGCAAACTGGTCAGCCCAGCCGAGTCAGAAGCTTCCCTCACGTTGAAGGCAACTATGCTTTGCACGTCTACATTCCAGGTGCCCGCCTTTAATTTGTTTCATATAGAATGCTACCTTACATTTCTTCATCAATAGTATTGAAGAATGCCCTTGTTTTTGCTTACTCTGTTATTTCAGTTTTTATACCTTCTGTTTCAAAGAAAGAGATGGGTCAGTTTTTGAAGAAAGTTTCGTCCTTTGTTCCCGGTCTTCATGTTGTGGATATTGATGTTCCATTGAATGTACTGTGTAAAGAAGAACATAAGCTCGAACAAGTTGCCTTAGGAAGGGAATTCCACATAAGTTTAGGAAGGACAGTTCCTATTAGAGTTCACCAGATTGACTCTATCGTAACAATGCTTCGCCAGAAGCTTCAGTTTCAAAAGCGGTTCGATCTTTATCCTTATTTTATGCTTAGCTCCATTGCTAAAAAAATCTATTGTTTTTTTTTCTTCCTTCTGATTTCCAGAATATGGTTTTGGCCATTTCTCTTATTTCGGATAGGTATTGGATCGATTTTAACAAATGGGAGGTTTTCGTCAATGATGATAAATCACGCACCTTTGTTTCACTTGAAGTGGTTAGCGGAGGATTAGCAGAGGTAAGTGTGTTGGATTTCTTTTCTTCTTTTATTGAAATGGTAGTTCCTTCACATATTGAGCTCAATTTCACCGTTTGATGAACCACTGCTTGGCTATGTGTGGACATGTCCATTAAAAAGAAAAGATAAATCACAAGAGGATAAAATATCATAGCTTTATTGCTTATTTCATTTTTGACAGAAGAAATGCTTGGATTTCCAAGTTATGTTTCATATCTGGAAACATAGATAATATTCCTTCCCATCTGCAAATTTACCTTTGATGTTACACTATACGACTATATTATCATTTGTATGATGACTAATTACTTGCTATATAAATGTATGTTTTTACATTTTAGGAGATAACATGTTAATATAACTATATTTGTATAGTTTTTGCCTTTCAAGATGTTGTTTACTACTTTTAGTTTATTATGCATCATGATGTTTTGCAATCCAATTCATGAGCTTGTACCAGAAACATGGTTGCAAGTATTATTTCGTATATAAATGTGCAGTATAATTTATTTATAATTTTTTCTAATATTAACATATTAAAGTGAAAACTGAGAAGCGGTTGTCTAAAAGTGGTATAAAAATCTAGAGATCGATGCTTCAATTGGAGTGAAAATTCTATATCATGTTTACTTGCACTGGTTTGTCATATACTGTTTGGATATTTGTGTCATATATCATGTTTAATTGCAGTATAAATGTGCTTAGGATGGCTGTTTTTTGTAGACCAAATCGGCATGCTCGTCTTGCAGTTTTTTTTTTATCTATATGCTACTTCTCTTTTTTATTTACTTGGTTGCAATTGATTCTCAGATAACAAAGCAAATTCAGGCCGTTAATGAGGTTTACAAGCTTCACAGTCTTCCAGAGTTCTATAAGGTTTGGGGTGTAATAAATTAATTGCCTAGTCTCAGCAATAGTTCATAATATTAGAGCTAAGATCTTATATCATATTGTTTGTCGATTTACAGGATCCGAGGCCTCATATATCCTTGGCTTGGGCACTAGGAGACATTAGCGGTTCCCTTAAAAAAGTGATCAACGACGAAACAAAGTCATCCGGCTTTAGAGGATCCTTACAGAGTCGTATTTGCACAAGTAAATTTGGTGGCATTGAGTGCAAAATTGGTAATAAAACATATATAATATGTAAACCTCCCGATCAATGATGAAATCTCTTCAACCTCTTGTGATATATCCATTGTTGTTTATTCTTACTTCATCTGTTATTTGTGGAAGTCGTGGATATAGAACTTTTTGTTAGGTCCTCATGGATCATCCATCATAAACATTTTCCCTCTATATGTTGCTAATAGGTAGGGCTGTAAACGAGCTGAGTTGAGCTCGAGTATTGCTAAGTTTTAATAAAGTCGAGTTCAAATAGCGCACGATTTGTCTCATCTCATTTACAGTCCTACTTACATGTGTTTTGCTAGTAGGGTCATTATGGCCCTTATATAGGTTACTTTCATTGACAGCATTTGCATTCAACAAGCCTGAACTGTTGTTTTCAGCTGATAATTCTGTAACCTGCAATGATGGTTACATTCTTAGAATGCTTTCACTTTAGTCACTGACATAAAACAACATTCATTGAAATTATTGTCATTAATAAAGACTTTCATTTCGGTCACCGGACAATTAAAAGGCTAACAACCTTAATATAACCTTTAAACTTCCATTAAAAATTTAAAAATTTAGAATTCACTTATGTACATGGACAAAATATTTGAAAAGCTTACTTAAAAATTTTAATGCCTAATTTTTCTATAAAGAAATTGAAGGATTTAATTTAACATTTTTAGAAAGAAAAAAAATTGGGGGTCTAACTGAAATTTTTAATTTTTTTGAAACTTAATAAAAATAAAAAAATGGGAGGAAACTCAATTAAAAATATTCAGAAAAATAAAATTTGGTGAGAGTTTTCTTTTATAAAAACTAAGAGATTAAATTAAAATTTTCTTCTAAAAACCGACGATTAAATGTTAATTTTTAAAAAATTTGGAGTACGACCCCTCTTGCCCAATATGACCACTTGATTCATATAAAAAAATTATAATTCAACATCAACTCTATAATTTTAATTCTAAAATTTTATAATTTCATCTCGATTTAGCGCAAAGAAGACGAAAAGGAAAATTATTAATGGAAAAGCTTAATCATTATGAGTAAGAGAGCAAAATTCCAAGCAAGATTTGAACTTCCATAATTCCTTGTATCAGAAGAAACAAACTCTTACAAATCATACAAAGAAACTAAATTAAAAGACTTTTAGGATTTTCCAGTTTTGTCATCTTTCCAGGAAGCTTGCCATTGTTTATCATAGCAAGTAACCTCATCCGAAAGTTTTCAGGTTATCAAAGTCTTGGGATTTCCTCAACAGCACGACACCGATGACCGTTGCAAACAATCCCATCTTGCACACGAAATTCCCTGTCTGTCCGATCAAATCCATCCCGGTTAAACCGTCCACCACGTAAGCCATGAAGAACCCTATCATTGCTGCTCGACCTGCAAGTTAAAAAAATTTAACACACAAATTGAACCGATCTGAAACTAACTTGACCGATCGAATTGGACGTTAACCATCGAGCAATTCAGCCTCGGGAAGATATGTTTGCATGAACCATGCCCACCAGGGTATGATTGAGCTTCTGAAGTGGACTGGTTCTTGGTTTGAACAAGCTTCTGGATCATCTCCAAGTACTTTCTCCTCTTTGCTTCTATAAAAACCAGAGAAAATTGCAGTTATGGAGTCTCGTATATGTATATACAACATGTAGCGTGTAGATATCAATTAGATATTCATGGAGAGCTCACCGGCAACAATCACACCATCCTACAATTTCTAACAAACATATTCAAATCCCATGCTCCACTCTTCCATCGTTCATCCTCGAACTTCGTAGTTGAAGCTCCGGTCTCGAACTCGTCTGTCGACTTATCTTCGGAATTTTTTGGCCTATTAATTTGTTAAGATGGTTTCTCTTTTTCATCGATTTTAAATCCTTTTTGGCCTTCAACATTTAAGATGACAGTGTTCATAACTTGCTTTGTCCCCAGATAATAAGCTGGTTTGCATTGTGCATGTTGCTTCTTGGTGACATGATTTGAACTGCAAGCTCTTATTAAGGAGGCGGATATGGCAATGGAAGTCATTGTTGTTCAAAGGGATTGCTGTTGCTTTTGCTTCTTAGATCTTCTCAAAAGGCTCTTTGTGGGGAAAAAGTAGACAATTTGCCCATACTTTTTTAGAATAGTATATCATCCCATAACTTTCTGCCAGAGAGGTATGGGACAGTACAGAATTATCCAGTATAGCTTTGCAAAAATGTCTTCTTCAGAAATTTAATTACGTTATTCCAATAAAAAAATGGTACAGGCTATTTGATTATCGGCTCAAGATTGGCTATGGTTTTGTTTCCGAAGCAGAGACTATGGGGCGTGCATGACTAGTGCCTGAGGATGATGCTACAAAAACCGTGAAATATACGAGGGCAACATATTTTTCGTTTGGTTAACGGAGCTAGCTGCAAGTTATGCTTTTAGAAGCACTAGTTTCATTGATCCTCCAATGATAATAATAAAACTGCTCGACGTTAATCGAATAAAAAAGGCACTACAATTTAAACGTCTGATAACTTCAATTACGAAAAACAAGCTTCAGCTACATTTAGACAATTCAAAGGCAAAACAAAGGGCACTACAAATTCAATCCCGTGTCATGGTTTATACTAATACTACTGCAAAAATTAGTTAATATAAAGGACAGCTTGCCGCCGTTGTAAATCCGTCTTTTGGGGAGGTATAGTGTTCTCTAACAATTATGCCGCGATAATAACCCTTTACAATGTGTTATCGTTCGTCCACTAACGGCTCCCCCAGCAATGGTCAATGAACCTGCAAAACAATTCTATGTTATTGTGTTGTGTTATCGTTCGTTCACTAATAACAAGTACACCAAAAGCAGAGGTATAACAAAATAGGATTCTGTCTTTCACTTGACCATTGATCAGTATCAATATATAGCAGAAATCACACATGCATAGTGGCAAGGCTTTGGTGTAATGTAAAAGTTCACATACACAGATGTGAATGCTACAAGTCACTAAAGCATCTAATTAAGATAATATATCAGCAGAGCGGGGCTTTCACTTAATGGCAACAGTGCTATTAACAAGCAACAATTAGGAACATAAGAATAGTGGCTAATCAGTTTAATTACAGAAAAAGCATTACCTCATGAAATACACATCCTGCTACTTCAGCATAAGTAGTTGGTCAAGTTAAGCTTCTTTCCTGTTATGATCAAAGTGATATTATCATCAGAATGAGGGTCTTTAAGATCCTCCATGAAAGGATAGCAATATAAATATATATTTACATTTATTTAAAAAGTTATCGAATGCCTAACTAACACTGAGCTTCTGGTTTTGTGGATACAAACTTACATGCTTCCTTTTTCTTCGATCAATTCCACTATTCCTCGTATCATTTTTCACAAGAGCAGATCCAGAGGGAAGGCCATAAGGCATTGGAGAAGGCGCTGAAGCAGGAGCTGGAGGAGCAGTTGTCATAGTAATATTGCTAGTTGACAAGGGCAGCTGAGGTTGAGCAGTAGCAGGGGGCAGGACTGCAGGTGTAGGAGCTTCTTCAGGCGGAGGCTTAGGCAAAATGAACTTCAACCGATTATTTCGATAGTTCTTCCAAAAGAAGAATTGCTGTCTATGTGCCACTTCCTATAAATTTTAGGTGCAAAAATTAAAAGATATCCAAAAAGTGAACATGAAATCATATTGATATAAAACAATAACACATATTTCATTCAGTGATCAGTGATCACAAACATATTTTGGTTGACAAAATCCACAGAATCATATTATATTGTTCTTTAATGCCTGAAAATATCCCTCTTAACATAGACTACTGGTTTTGATGCTATGCATCTTAAAACAACAAACATTATTATAACCTTCTAAAAACAACTGTATTTCTTTCTAATTATCCATCACCATCAAAACAATTTTCTTTTGCATGAGCCCAGTCTTAAGAAGGGGATTCCTAAGACGTTTGTTACAAAGGAGATTTGAAGAAAAAGAATTTCAATGTGATAATATTTATTAGGAAATCAGGATGAGGAAGAAGGATTAGAGCCAAACCTTGTTGGCAGGATGTGCCATTGCATTTCGGAAATTCGCATTTTGAAGAAGTTCAAGGAAATAGAGGCAATGGGGATACCTGCAATCATCTTGTTACATAAGTTCATGTGTTGCATAGAGAAACACAAACAAGGGATCTATAAATTAACTATGTAGCTATTACTCATCATTTATCCTGAAGTAAAATATATGTTAGTTTTAAGGAATCCAAGCCTAAAGTATAGAATGGCAAGCTTTCAGGTTACTGACATGATATATTTTATGTACTCTGGTCGTTGCCAGTATTGAAGATATTTCAAGTATCCAATGAATGCTTCGTCATCGAAATAGCGATTTTGAGCCAAATCTGCATCACAAATTAATTACGCGACTATCAATGAAGAATGCACCCAATTGACAAATTCAACAAGTGAATGCAACGCAAATAAAAAGGAATGGAACTTAAAGAACAAGACAACTAATGATTTAGATTAATTAAAATTTGACACAATGAACAGACAAATTGATCCAATTCGTGAATGTGGTCGAGCATTAATTCGGGAATTTTACCATAAACAACCAAAGTATTCCATTTGAGAAATTCGCGGTCTAACCCTAATTCAGGAGGAACTGAAAACTTACAGTGGATGTAAGTAGGGTTGGCAAGGCATTGCACGAATTCTAATTCGAGTAAGAATCGTTGCCGCCCATCATCCGGATCCTTGTACACGTTTTTTGGCCTGAAAATTCATTCATTCATTAAAAAAAACATGATTTGTGTTAAACGTATTCCATTCAAAATTTGTGTTAAGAGAAACGAGGAAATCAGAGCAAAAGAGACAGAAGCTTACGAAGGAGTATCGGAAGCGATGTCACTTTCTTTAGCGGAGGCCATTGAAATCTTCACCCCAAATTTAAAAAGGAATAAAGGGGGTGATTTAAATTTCAGCTACGATTGATCAGTTGCTCGATACAACGATTAAATCAAGGAAACTATGAATGGCTCCAAAACCCTAACCTAACATAACAAAAAAAATCATACGAATTCAAGAGACTCAAGAAAAAAAGATGGGATTGGAGAACAGAGTCGAAGTTAAGGAGAAACAATGAATCCCGAAGTTGTGTCAGGTGGAGCAATTCTGAATATCACAGAGAACAGCACGCGATTGAGAAAAGCTGGGCAAAGCGTGGCTGATCTTAATCCCGTTATATATATTATTTTCAATGGCTTAAGGATGACTAAAGCCCTTCAACTTTTGATTTAAATCAATTAAGCCATCAAATTAATAAATTAAATGAATTAAATCTTTTGATCAATTTTAATCAACAACGGTTGAATTTGCTATTAGTAACAATTGTTAAAAAATAATTACATATCAATATTGTAATAGTTAACGACGATTTTCATCCATAAAAGGCAAAATTAATACAATTCAATGGGATTAAAGACAACGACCATACGATTTAAAGTAAAAATAATATTATAAATTTTAAAAATTATTTATAGCATAATTTAGTGGTTTTACCTAGGGGTGTAAAGAGCCGAGTCGAACTCGAGTATTGCTGAGCTCGACTCGACTCGAAAACTCTGAAATGGAACTCGACTCGAACTCGAAATCCTGAACTGAAGCTCGTGAGCAGCTCGAAAAGGCTCGAAATGAAAAAAAAAACCTTAAACTTAACTAGATTGAAGTTTCAAACTCAAACTCGAACATGAACCTTAAATACATAAAAACCTTATTGTATTTTTTAAAAACAATCAACACATAAATGTTAATATTATTAATAATTTTTTTTTTATAAATAAAATATTAATATATTATATTTTCGAGCTGCTCACGAGTTTTTCGAGTCGAGTATCAAGTAGCTCGTCTCGGCTCGTTAAGAATTCGAGTCTAGCTCGACTCGAGTCCATTCGATCCGAGTATTTATCGAGCATTGACCGAATCAATCTCAAATAACTCGCGATCTGTCTCGTCTCATTTACAGTATTAATTTTACCCTATAAAATTAATTCGATTTTGTGAAATATAACGATGAAGGATATTATAGTAAACTACAAAATGATGGGATATAATCATATAATGCTGGGGCCTAGGCCTAATATAAAATCAGGCCTCTTTTTTCAGCAGAAGACTAAAACCCAAAACGACCCCCAAGGGTTAGTTATAAATACAAATTTAGCCTTCTTCTGCCAATATCATCCTTGGAAGAAACATATAATCAAATGAACAGGCCGCCGAATCTCAGAGCCACCGTTGTTTTCTTTCGTTTTGTTTAAATTCCATTAAGAAACATTAATGCAATACCCTAATTCGATCAATTTCACTCTCGGCACCCAAGATAAAGAGAGGGAGAGAATGGAACAACACGAAGTGCAAGAGCACGAGGTGTACGGAGGCGAGATTCCCGATGAGGAAGGTGAGATGGACGCTGACGTGGACATGCCTGGTGGATCTGAAGACCAAGGCAACGACCATGATCTTCAACACGATCCTCATTCCAACTCCAAGGTTGCCCTCTTTTATTTTCTTTACCTTTTAGCCCATTTTCCCTGGGATTTAGCCGAGCTTTGTGTCTAATCGAAAAATGTTTAAAACATTTAATTCTAGGACTTCGAGGAAATGAAAAAGAGACTCAAGGAGATCGAGGATGAGGCCGGAGCTTTACGTGAAATGCAGGCTAAAGTCGAGAAGGAAATGGACGGTGGCCAAGGGTTTTTTTTTAGAAAAAACAATTGTATTCGATCTGATTTTTTTGCCTATTTTTTAAAACAATTTTGACTTCGATTTGGATTTAATTGTCTTTAATTGAGAAAGAAATTAAGCTTACTTTATTATCGATTTTGAATATTCATGTATGAATTATGGAATGTTGTGCGTGTGAATTATTATTTCTAGGAAACTGATTTGATTCTGCTTTCTTTTCCTGGAGGAATATGAAGATTCCGCTGGTACTTCTACTACCCAAGCCGAGAAGGAGGAAGCTGATTCCCGCTCGATTTATGTCGGTAAGTGAGGTTTATCAATCCTTTCCAATGTCATTCTAAAAAAATATTTTGAGCCTTTTTATCTGTCTGTTTGGCTAAATCATGACATTTACATTATCTGCAGTTGAATTCATATCGATGATAAGAAGAGATTTACCAGTTTGATTGTTACCTAATTATGTTGTATGCTTGTGCATATTGGCTTGAAAATGCTTTTGTATGCTATACTTCTTCGACTCTTCATTTGTTTGAAGTACGAACGTGTAGCTAAGCGTCCAAGTTGACCTCCAAGGATTCTCCAAATACATGGAAAACCTAGAAAAATCTTATCATGCCTGTGTCCGATACATATTCTTAACTGATACTTCGGAGTAACATAGTTGTTATTTGCATCTCCATGGACAATACAGGATGTTCATTGTTATTTAAATAAGTTTGACCCTTAAGAACTTATTATGAGGAAATGTGGATGTAGATTTTCACGTCGTTTTATGTTGTTTGGCTTCTTTAGGTAACTTATAGATTGTTGAGGTGTATAATTAAAATGATCTCGATGTAATGTACTGTAACTCAATGTGGGCTAACCTTTTGTTTCTTTTTATATCTTTGTGACAACAGGTAGACTACACGTGTACGCCTGAGGAAGTTCAACAGCATTTCCAATCCTGTGGAACAGTTAACAGAGTTACAATTTTGACCGACAAGTTTGGTCAACCCAAAGGATTTGCCTATGATGAATTTGTGGAAACTGATGCTGTTCAATACGCGGTGCTTTTAAATGAATCAGAATTGCATGGTCGTCAATTGAAGGTTTATAACTTGATTAGTTCGTGGATTGTTATGTCACTAATGTGACATGCATGATGATAAAGAGGTGTTTAACATACAGGTGTCTGCAAAACGAACAAATGTTCCTGGAATGAAACAGTATCGAGGAAGGCGACTCAACCCATAATTTTGCTCCCGAAGACCTTTTATGCCGTCACCCGTGTTCTATCCTCCATATAGCTATGGGTAAGCATGCCAACACGTTTTCTTTGTTTGGTTGTTGCATGGTAAAAAGGGTAACTTGACATTTAGTTTCACTTCGGGCTTTTAGAAATAGTGTTGTTCTTTTTTCTGTAAAAAGGATCTCCATGTGCTTGGGAATTATACCTATTATGATCTCTGCAATCCAGCATAGGGAGATCCTTTTCACTTCCATGTATAAATCCCAAGCACAGGGAGATAAGGCCATTTTAGGGATACAGGCCAACGAGGTTTTCCGCCGAATAGATAACCTTGTTATCGAATAATATTCAGGAGGGTTCCAAGGTTCAGGCACCCAACGAGATACAGACCCTATTAGGATGGGTCTCACATTGTCAAAAGTTGCGAATTTTGAGAAGGCCATTGCTTCATTGTGTTGTTGTTACAAAGGGAGGAAGTCGAACTACGAATAGCCTGCCAAAGGGCTGGCCGGCTTTTTGTTTTTAATTTTTTTTATCAAATTGTGAGCTTGCTGGAGTCTGATAGGATACATTCATCTGATCTTTGCAATGGTTTGGTTCAAATCAGGAGAAAAGAGGCAAATATTGGAGTGAAATATTAATTGGGTGTTGATGAGTTTATGCAAATATTCACGGTTGTCGCATAGATTATATAATGCATAGAAAGGTCAGCACTTTCCAAATGATTTACTGTATGTTGAGGGCTTTAGCCTTTGGGGCATAAAAAGCTTTTGGGGCTTTAAACCATTACAATTTTTTTCAGAAAAACAAATAAGCATAACGACAACATTATTGATACGTGGTATAATCTTGTCTTGTCATCAAAACATCGTTTACAAGTGTCAAAGTAGTAGATAGAGTTCGAGTTCGAGATTCAATTCAGGAGCATAAATTCTTTAGTGCAAATTTTGGGGAAGGTGTCTTGTTCAGCTATCAATTTAGGAGAATTTGAATTTTCGTAGTTCATGTAATCAAAATTGAATTTGCGTAGGTAATCAATTTGGGAGCTAATATTCTTTATGTATCAACTTGAGAGAAGGTGTCTAGTTCAAGTACCAATTTGAGAAGTGTCTAGTCCAAATATCAATGGACTATCAGTTTTAAAGAGTTCATATACCAACTTAAAAGAATGTGTTTAATTCAAGTACTAATATATTTAAAACTTATTGCGAACAATTTTATCATGAGCGTTCGAAAATTCTTGAGTATGTTAGTAAAATAACATATAGAAAAATGTTATTAACTATAAACTATAATGGCTCTATACATTTTTAATATTATCTTTATTTTTCTAATTTTCACTATAATATATAAAATATTGTTAATAATAAATCAAGTATTAAATTTGGGTTCGTCCTCTTATGCGGGTTTGAATTCTCTTATTCAGTAGTGAATCTATGCATTTCTTAGGTACCTACTCTACAATTCAAATTTCGTTTACTGATTATCTTCACTCTGAAATTTTATTAATATCCATCCATACAAAAAAATATGTCATATATATGTCTATTCTAAAAAAAAAATTTATGTTGATATTCCCACCTTAGTTTTCTAATTTTTCACTAGTATGCTGATGACAAGTACCACCATCTCTGAGAAGATTATTAAATTACTTTTAATTAAAATTAGGATTAAATTAATAGAATTTAGTAATTTAATTGACAAAATTCATAGTTCAATGGTCAAAATAAAATCAACCCAATAGTTTAGTGACCCAAAAAAGAAGTTTTACCCAATCGAAAAGTTTCCTTTGATTTGCACGTCTAACACCAGCCACTAGCAGATTGAATGGTTAGGAACCAACCAACCAACCAGTGTGAGGGCCGCAGCTTTAAAGCTGCGTGACACACTTTTCAAGGGACCAGATAAAGCTTCCACCACAAACTCCTTCTTCTTCTTAGCTTCCTCAACCGCCAACCTCCGATGGCTTCCACCTCCGCCGCACACCTTTCCCTTACTCTTCTCCTTCCGCCTATCTCCTCTCCACGCCACCACTTAGTCACTGGTTTTTCTTATTCGTCAACTCAGGGTCAGAGTCGAGTCTCCCTCAGAACTCGAGCTATTAGCGCCGATGATTTCTTGGGTGATTTCGGGGCTCGGGATCCTTTCCCAGCTGAAATAGCTAGTGGGTTTGCCGAAAAAGTGTTGGGAAATGTTGACACCGAGCATAAGATCCTTATTCCCAATGCCACGGCTCTCTCTCTTGCCCAGCAAGTGTGCTCCCCTGTTTCTCCTTTGCAGCCTCCCATGTCACTCGACGATGCTAAGGCTCTATTGATGAAGGTTATTTTGCAATTACCCTTTTCCTTTTTTGTCTTTTTAATGGTGATTTCATGTTAATGGGATTGAATTATTTTTCTTTAGTTTCCGTTGTTAGCTGTGTTGATGCTTTAGCCATCCTTCAAATTAGAAGTTATTGTTCATTACTTTTAGCAATCTGTTTTGAAATTTCAAATTTACGGTGTGGAAATTATCATAATTCTATGTTTAGAAAACCCCGATTCATGTCTTATATTAGCAGCTTTGAAGACTCTGATTTAGGCCTGAAAATTAGCTAATTCCGAGCTCTTGTATTGTTTAACTCGGCTCGAAAACTAAACCGGACCAGAAAGCCTGCAGCTTAAAATTGTCAAGCTCGACCCAACTCGAAAAAATTTAAATTCATAAACATTTTTAAACTTAGTTCGATTGAAGTTCGAACTCAATTCAAGCTCAAACCTAAATCTTACCTTATATTACAATTTTTAAATACAACATATTAATGTTAATATTATTAGTAATTTAATTTAAAAGAATAAAATTTTAATATGTTATTTTTTGCTTGCAAGCTTTTTGAGTCGGGTATCGAGTGACTCGTTTCGGCTCATTAAGAATCTGTTTCGAGTTCAAACTCGAGTCGAGTTCATTCAATTCGAGTATTAACCGAGTTTTTACCGTGTCGAACTCGAATAACTCACGATCGTCTCTTTTGCGGCCGTACTCTAATTTAGTGCGGCAAATCTCCTGCTAGAGTCTTAACATTTCGATTAAATATTTTTCGGCCGCTAGCTTTTAAGCCAGATGACAATGGAAAGATACTGCTGATAACATCTAGTATAAACATCTTTAGTTATTACGGAGAATTTGTGTTCACGATGAGATAGCTTTTACTTTGTAGGTTGTTGGCTGGAGGCTGTTGGATGAAGAAGGTGGACTTAAACTGCGGTGTTTGTGGAAATTGAAAGATTTCAAATCCGGAGTCGAACTCGTCAATCGGATCTACAAGGTTACAGAAGCCACCGGTCATTTTCCAAGTCTCCACTTGGAAGAACCGAATCAAGTCCGAGCTGAACTGTGGACTTCTTCGATCGGTAAACTTTCCGTTTCTCCTTTAGCTGCCTATGAAAATCATCCCCCTTCCATTGCTTTTGGCAGTGCCCTTTACTTACCATTAGCTTGAATCGCAGGTGGCTTGAGCATGAACGATTTCATCGTGGCTGCCAAGATCGATGCAATAAAAACATCGGATCTCGCTCCCCGTAAACGAGTTTGGGCATAGATCGAAGCACATCCGTTTTCGAAGTATTGGAGCATATTTGATGAAACCATGGAAGTCGTAAGACTAGTGAAATTCCAATGCTGTTGATGAGAAACGAGTTAATGGCCTGGTTTGATTTCAGAAATATATTAAGCTTAGTAAATAAAAAGGGAAAATCAAAACGATAATCGAACCCTAATGTCGATTTCTGATTCGATTCCTGTTTATAATGATTATTTTCAATTTCGTATACTTTTTTTTTATTAAAGATAAGATTGCATTCATTTAGAAGAAACAAATACAATAGCAAAAGAGTAAAAACCCAATCATAGATTTAAACAGTGATTCGTTATCAGAATAGCGGCCGGTATGTAATAGAAAAAAACGCACGCTATTATCATCTTGACCATTAAGGTCAAAAGCCGCAGGAGCTTTACATTCAATTCAATAGGATCGATAAACTATAATAGTTACGTTGATCTAACTACACAAATTGCATTTAAAATCGATTATGCATTTCAAAGTACGCCTTAAAATTTAATTTTTAAATTATTTTTTTATTGATTTTGTTATATCTAAAGAGAATGATCTTTGACCGTAGTAAACTCTCTACCCGTTGAAAATTATAGAATAATCTTTTCGTTTATCAACATCTCTGGAGAATTTTGTTCTTTCGAATATAAGTTCTTTTTATTTTTGCTTTTGGGTAGAAGCTTTTAAATCAACCACATCATATAGATAAGATTTATGATAAATTCAAGTGATTTGTAAGAATTAAATCTCAAGTTTAATCACTAGATTTACCTAATTTACTGACAGACATGATAACCCTACAACTAACACATACAAATGATCACCGTAAATACCCTTTAACATAGCCATGAAATGGGCTGGCACCCTAACACTCACCCTTTTCCTCATTCTCCCATTTTCTTTCTCACGACCATCCCTCTACAATACAAGAGGATTGATTGCAACTCTATATCCAAATAAAAGATTGAACCGTTAATGATCAATGAGTCAGACTTGTTTCCATCAACAATTAAACTTGTTATATCTTCGAAAAACGATCTCTGATAGCTGCAAGTTATCTACTCGTTGAAAATCCTAGAACAATCCTTCCGCTTATTAGAATCTCTAAAAAATCCTATCCGATTTAACATAAACTTTTAAATCAGCCATATATGAATTAAACTTATTCCCATTAACAAATATAATAGAATTTCTGTTACATAGGATAAGAATAATCCCACCTCCAACATTAATAATCTTAAGATTCAGCTTTATTTGAATCTTTGGGTAAAAGTCTACTACTTGTACATAATTATACTCAAAACTAATTATTAGTTGGCTTTCCAAACACATTTTTTAAAATTATTTTAATATAAAATTGTTTATATATATATATATATATATATATATATATATATATATAAACTTTCAAACCTCTTTTATCTCGCTTCCATCTTCTCTATTAGTTACCATTTATGAAAAGAAAAAAAAAGAAAAAAAATCCGAGGAAACCCACTCGAAGAATGGCGGCAGCTACTTCAATGGTTACTTCATCAAGCTTCACGTTTCCTTTCCAAGGTTAATCCTACTACCTTTGCCACCATTGTTACCCTCTTCTTTCTCTTTTTTTATTAACTAATATTGGAGCTTGTCCAAACCAGGACTTCGCCTACCCATTCTTAGCTACCCGTGTATGAAACCCGAGGTTCTGCTTTGCTCCATTGCCTTTCCAGTTATCCATACTGTGTTTCCTCTCACCTGTTCTTTTGTTTTGAGGATTATGGGGTTAGAAACGGAATGTGGAGTGATGTATCCATCTTGTTCGACGAAATGTCTCAATGTTAAAGAGCTTTCTAGTTTTTGAACTACATGCATTAGCTAGAATTCGTTTGTTTTCATCTCATAGCCTCATTCTTACTATGGCCGGGGACGAACAGAGTTGAGCTTGAATATTACTGAACTCGACTCACTCGAAAAGTTCTAAGTGAAAGATCGACTCGATTCAAAAGGTCTGGAGCTTAAAATTGTCAAGATCGATTCAAATTCAAAATAAAAAATTGAAGTTTTGAACTCAAAACATTATCTGAATTAACTCAATCGAAGTTCGAACTCAAGCTCTGGAGCACGGAACTTCATTTTTTATATAAAAAAATATATAAACGTTAATACTATTAGTAATTTAATTTAAAAAAAATTAAAAATCTAATACATTATTTTTTTGAGTTATTCACGAGCTTTTAGAGTTAGTTATTAAGGCTTGTTATTAACTCGAGTCGTGTCCATTCAAAATGAGCGTTGACTGAGTTTTGATCAATTCGAACTTGAGTAGCTCGCAATTTATCTCATCTATTTACATTTCTTAGCCAGAAAAACTATTTTGTCTGTTGCAGAGACGCATTATGAGGAAAGATGCTTCAAATGTTATAACGGCAACATATGAGCTGAAGCCACCTCCATATCCCCTGGTAAAAAAACCCCTTCAAAAATTATGTTTTATTGTATCATTTTTATTGAAAATGTTTGTCTTTTTCAGTAGCTTCCAGTGGGTGTTGATGGGGCATAGTTAGACCCCATTATGAAGCTTGTTGCTGCCTGTTGGAGATATAATCTGTACTTTGTTTAGAGAATTCTTCTAATATTTGTTAATGCTCGTCTCCGAGCTCCAAGTCAAATAAGAAATGATGCAAAGAAATAAACTGACGTGTGTTAAAATTTTGTTATTTCTTCATATTCCCAGAATGCATTGGAACCCCATATGAGCCGAGAAACCCTGGAGTATCATTGGGGAAAGCATCATAGAACCTATGTGGAGAATCTAAACAAGCAAATTGTAGGAACAGATCTAGAAGGGCCGTCTTTGGAAGACATTATCATTGTTACTTACAACAGGGGTGACATACTCCCTGCATTCAACAGTGCTGCACAGGTAAATGTCATACAAGTTAGTGAATCTCCAATCGCATATTATGTTTTTCTTTCAAGTTTTATAATCTGTTTGCAGGCCTGGAACCATGATTTCTTCTGGGAATCAACGAGACCAGGAGGTGGAGGAAAGCCGTCCGGGGATCTTCTAGATCTGATCAAAAGAGATTTTGGTTCTTTTGAACGGTTTACGGAAGAGTTCCAGTCTGCTGCAGCTACACAGTTTGGTTCTGGCTATGCATGGCTTGCATGTATGTGACCTCTTAGAATGACATCTTTACTTTTTTCCATTAAAATTCCCTAGTTCTTCGCATAATTTGGACTGTAATGTGTTGATTTTACCCAGATAAAGCAAATAGGCTTGGTGTGGAAAACGCAGTAAATCCTTGGTCATCAGATAATGATAAGAAGCTCGTAATCGTGAAAAGTCCAAATGCTGTGAATCCCCTTGTTTGGGACTACTTTGTGAGTACCTACACACTCATAATTCATCTTACAACCATATATATGTATTTTAGCTAATGTAGAAAGCAATCTGCAGATGCTATTATATTTGTTAGTTTGATGCATCTAACATTATCATCTGTTTATTTTCCACAGCCACTCCTCACCATTGATGTCTGGGAGGTACGCCAATTTTTTTTTGGTTTGAACAATCTGATGTTACATTGTTCCAGAATTATTTGTTTAACTAATACTAATTCCACTGTTGGGATATGTTCTATGTCGACAGCATGCTTATTACCTTGACTTTCAGGTAAAGTTTTAATTGCTTGGACATGCGTGATGAAGAATTTATTTGTTGGTTCCAATGTAATGTTGTCAAGTGAATCTAAAAAACTACGTAAATCTTCTCTTCTGGCAGAATCGACGGGCAGAATACATATCAATGTTCATGGAGAAGCTTGTATCTTGGGAAGCAGTTAATGCTAGACTTGAAAAAGCAAAGGCTGAAGCTGCTGAGAGGGAAATGGAGGAAGAAAGGAGGAAAAAGGAAGAAGAAGAGTGGAAACCGACTGATGGCGATGATGATGATGAAGGTTTAGAGATGTATGTAGATAGTGATGATGATTCAGAAGCCGAATGAGTTCTAACATACAATGATGGTATTAGAACACCACGTAATTATATCTTTATTGTATCTTCGAAAGTGATATAGAGGTTAGTATGTGAGGCCAAGGAAGTAGAGATTCTTCAGTTCTTTTCAATTTTTTTGTAGCTATACTGGATAGCTGAATTCTGATTTATGGATATTCGGCTGTAGGATGTAGAAAATCGAGTAATGCTTCAAAAAACTACTGCCATTATTGTGAAATTCCTCAATATGCATGTGTTTATTACATTGTTATTGTCAATTATTAGATATGTTGCGTTTCTGTTGTATTTTTCTATCGTATTCGAGTTTCAGACCATGCATCGTCTCAGCTCGATTGTACTCCAACGTATAGCTTCGGGTGAAAATTAAATCGAATCAAAATCATGTGCAAAGTTACACAAAACCAAAGTTTATGTATGGCGTTACACATTTCACCAGAATTTTGACATTTATCGAATATAAAATGATACAATACATTTATTGTTTGTACATATTTAAAAATGGTAGAAATTCAGGAGTGATGGGAGAATGAAATACATACTCCATATGTATAGTTTGACAAGTTTTGAAGCTTTACTTATGTAATCACCTTTTTTTCGGGCTATATATATATATTATTACACGATCAAAACCCGTTTACAAATAATCTAGTAACCTGGGCCCAAATCAAATTACAAGTCCAACTTAAACCCTAACCTAGCTAACCCTAAGCTCCTTTCCTACCACCGCCTGCCAATGCCACCATTGCCGCCGCCGGTCACCTCAGCCTAACCGAATCTCCTGTTTCACCAAACAAACAAAAAATCAATCAATCATAATAATAAAAAGAGAAAATAACCCCAGTGAAAAAAATGCCTTATAATATACGATTTTAACCAACTTTTTTTTGGATTTGCCAAAATGACCAACTAAATCGCAATGCGATCGATAATTCACAATGCGATCTCCGGTATCGCAAATCAGTTTCCAGATTCGCAATGCGATTCTGACTATCGCATTGCGATTTTCCAAATTCGCGTTGCGATTTTCCGACTATCACAATGCGAATATGTAAATCGCAATGCGAGTATGAGTATGACTATCGCAACGCGAATATGTAAATCGCAATATGAGTATGACTATCGCAATGCGATTCTGACTATCGCAACGCGATTCTGACTGTCGCAATGCGATTTTCAAAGCGCCATTATTATCGCAACGCATTTTTTTTTTCAAATTCCAAACACGAATATTAATATATCGGAACACTGAACCGTCCACAGTATATCCCGTAATCGTAACTCATAACCTAAAACCCTAAATCACAACTCAGTCCCATCTCCATCTCTCACTCTCTAAGGCGACATCCGTCCCCATCTCCGACGAAATCAGTCCCCATCTCCGACGAAATCAGTCCCCATCTCCGGCGAAATCCGTCTATCTCTATCTCTCAGAGCCACCCCCATAATCATTCACGGTCAGAAAATCAACCAAATCAACCACCGATGGTTAGTTTTTTTAATTATTTTTATTTTGAAATTTTTGCATTATTATTAGGTTTTTCATATTGAAATTGATGATAAGTTTACTGGTAGTTTCAATAATAGATTAACCATTTTATTTAGATTGCTTATTAAATTCATTCGATTGCTGCCAATACTGCTAAACTGTTTAGTCTTTAAACCATGTGAATTTAGTATTTGTCTTTGTTTTGTCTTTTGGTTGAAGTAATGCAATCCATTCAAGTTTCAATTTTAGTATTTGAAACCGAGAATCGCAACGCGAAATGAAAATCGCAACGAAAGAATCGCAATGCGATTTTTGTTTCGCGTTGCGATAGTCATTTTCGTGTTGCGATTTTCATTTTTGTGTTGCGATTTTAAGTTTCAAAAACTATTCTTCTTCTGCAAATTGAAACTTGAATGAATTGCATTACTTCAACAAAAAATAAAGATAAATATTAAATTCACAGTGTTGCAAGTTTAAGTTTGAAGAATAAACTACTACTCTTTATGTTTATTGTTCTTGGTATATCTTCACAGTGTAGTTTTTGGTATATCTAACTTGGTATGTTTATTGTTTTTGTAGAACTTTTATTCGGCTCAATTGACCTTAAGAAATAAATTAAGCCTGGCTAAAACAATTGCGTCGAAGCTTTCACCTGCACAAAGAAAAATATTTGAGGATACTTGATTCGGGCCATGGCTGAAAGTACAACATCCGGGTGGAGATACTATGTTGACCCATCTGTTTCTTCAAACCATGACTAGCGATCTACCAGAGACTATACAACGTCGCGATGAAGAGATATTGTTTGATTTTCCACCGACGTATACGTGTTTTGGGCGGGAGGAGTTTTGCTTAATCACCGGTCTACGCTTCGGACACGATGATGTAGGTCAGTACACTAGACATATTACCCGCCTATCATGGTTATCCCGAGTTTTTCCTGAGCTGTCAATGGAGAAGCCGAATTTACACGTGGAAGACTTGATGAGATTATTGAATAAGAAAGATGGTTTTACTCGGATGGATGACGTCGATGTTATCCGAGTATGCCTTCTAATACTTTTGCATACCGGCTTTTTAGGCAGAGAGGCCAGATAACCTATTCCTAATGATCTAATTAAATTGGTAGAGGATCTAAATGCATGGAACCTGTTTCCGTGGGGTTCGTATCTATGGAAAGCTACATGGAATAAGTTGTCGTATGCCTTTGATGATCGAAAAAGTTTGCGTGGCGATGGTTCCAAATACACTTTGTCAGGCTTTATCTGGGCCTTTAAGGTAATAATTTTTATATAATGTTTCCAAAATTATAATTAATTATTATTTAACAATTACTAATGTTTGTTATTATATTGTTTGTAGATTTGGATATTTGAGGCCTTTCCCGCCATGCATACATATGCATTAAAAACTGTTAATGATATTCCTAGGGTTATTTCCTGGAAGAGGAAACGGACATTGCAGCAATGGGAAGATTTACTACCGTATACGACAATAAATAATGTAAGTTAACACAAATACTACCATATGTTTATAAACAAGTTATTACTAGTACACGTTTAACTTTGTTTGAGTTTTTATATTGTTAGGAGTCCAACACTCCATTACAGAGGCTGACACCCACGGAAGATGAGCTTGCCACTGATTGGTGGCAAGCTAGTAAGCGTTTTTTTGATGGCACGGATGATGAGCAGCCTCCACTTCGAGAGCCATCACCTCACCCAGAGTCATCACATGATCGACCCGACTATACACCTCCACAACGAGAGCCATCACTTATTTTGTCACATCATCGAGCCTCTTCTCCACCATCACCTCATGATAGGTGACCGACAAAGATGCCACGACGTTTATCTCCCTGTTCTCCACCTCCACGGGATGAGTTAGGGGAGTTACGTGATGAGGTCAATGTCTTGCGTGAGGAGGTCGGTACTTTACGCGATGACAATGGTGCATGGAGTGTTAAGGTGTCTACTTTACGTGGTGAGGTAGCTGCTCTACGTGAGATGGTAGCATCGTTGCAGAATGAGGTTCATACTCTACGCAACGAGGTAAGTTTAATATTTTTCATATTTAACTTGATGATAAATTTACTCATAATTTCACTTAGATTAACCATTTCACTTAGATTAACCATTTCACTTAGATTGCTTAGTAAATTCATTCGGTTGCTGCCAATACTGCTAAACTGTTTATTCTTTAACCCTGTGAAGTTAGTATTTATTTTTGGTTATCTTTTGGTTGAAGTAATGCAATCCATTCAAGTTTCAATTTGCAGAAGAAGAATAGTTCACTTTCGCAACGCGGAAATGACTATCGCAACGCGAAAATGACTATTGCAACGCGAATTTGACTATCGCAACGAAAGAATCGCAATGCAAAATGAAAATCGCATTGTGATTCTCTCGTTGTGATAGTCATTTTCGCGTTGCGATAGTCATTTTCACGTTGCGATAGTCATTCGTGTTGCGATTTTAAGTTTCAGATTATATTCTTCTTCTGCAAATTGAAACTTGAATGAATTGCATTACTTCAACCAAAAGACAAAGACAAATGCTAACTTCACAGTGTTGAAAATCTAAGTTTCAAGAATAAACTACTACTCTTTATGTTGTCATTGAACCTGCACTAAACCTATATGTTGTCCTTTTAAATGTTTATATAAGTGATTACTTCTGGAATGTTATCTGATGCATTTTGTGAACAATGATAGAATAATGACTTGGGTGAATACCGTGCAAGTTTGAAATATATTTGTCTTTATTTTCACTGTTTAATATCATGTCTGTTTATTTACTGATTTATGTATTAATTTATTTTTAGCGGCCCGCTAAGATGGATGCTCTACGTCGGGTTTTTCTTGCAAGACGGAGTTCACACATCAGACGGCGTGCACGTGCCATTAAGTCTCTGTTCACCCCAATAGTGCGAAGAATCCGTAAGAAAAAGCCCGACTCACCTGTCATCGTTCAAGAGGCCTCCCCTATCGTTCAAGAGGCCCCTATCATCCCTCAAGAGTCCCCTCTCACCGTTCAAGAGGCCACTGTCATCGTTGAAGAGGTCCATCCCAACATTCTAGAGCCCGATTCACACGGCATAATATATCGAATTATTGAGAAACCCTTTCACGTGCCGGATATGATGAATGACTGTTGGCTTTCGTATAAGTTACCGGCCAGTACCATTCCGGCAGATAAAGTGGAGAGGAAACAACTACCTGAAACAATTATGAATAATACCCTTTGGGCTAAGACCGCAGTTGATTTTTATCTACATGAGCGGAGCCAAGGGTGTTACGCTGACATATACAAACTCAATGATGATATGCATTTGTTGATTGAACGGTCTTGGTGGGGTGTGTTAATAGGGGTTGAAGATAATGGCTATTTCGATGGGGGGTAAGTATTATATTTCTTCTTATATTTCATTTTGATTAATTTTTTTTAAAAATTATGTAATTCACTAATATATGTCTTTTTTTGTAAAACAGCATATTGATGCATGTGTGTCACGTCTTCTAATAGTAAGGGCTTTGAAGAAAAAAAGAAAAAAAAATACGCGATATACAATTATGCCGATGTCTTTTCACGTAGTTCACTTGAAGAATCAACGACAAGAATCATGTGTGTTGGCTAATGGACAAGCTAAACTTTATCCTGCATGGTGGGAGGTCGATAAGGTTAGTATTTATTTTTTTTTAAATATTTTAAAGGTGTTCATAAATAAGTGCGCA